TGTGCTGCTGTTGGGTGAAGTGCTCTATAGATGTCTATAAGGCCAAGTTGGTGGATTGTATTGTTTAGCTCTTCTGCATCTTTGTTGAGTTTCTTTCACTTATCATTTCTTGAGGACCTATAACACACCACTCCAAGAGTCAGTTAGTAGAATGCTTATTCTTACAACTCTTTGAAAGGTAGGGGAAATAGCCTATGTGATGTAAGTAGTTTCATTTACTCAAGTATAAATAGCTGAGATCGAATAAAGTTTTGGCTGACTTCAGAGCCTCTGGGCTTGTTCTTCCATTCCTTAATGGAGCTACATTATAGTACAGGTTCAGAAGGAGATGCATTAAATTAAAAACAAACAAACAAACCTAAAGTCCAAACAGCTGTCTGGAAATATATGCAATCTACTAAAGTTTCCTGATTGTGATGATTTTGCTATACTACCATTCCGCATTATGGAACAAATTAAGAAAGGAAATAAAGACAAACATGACACTGGTCACATTAATACTGGTAAACTAATACTCAAAAATGAATTCTTACCAGAAGATATATTTGCCACTGTAGGAATGTAAAGACAGTATTTTTTCTTTGTAAACATATGCGTAAAATATTCGAGTCTGAAACAAAACAAAACTGTGCACACCTACCTCTACAGCAGGTACAATGTCTATACCCACAGTTAGAAATTCTTCAAACTTCAGAAATGGGTTAAAGCAACTGCCAACATCAAGTAATCTGATCTTTCCTGAAGCTTGTAGCAACCTAAAATCAGACATAAAAGGAAAACTGAAAATAAAGTATAAGAAAAAAATTTAAATATTTGAGAATAAAAAAATACATATTTTCTAACTTTTTGGCCTCAGGACCCCTTTATATACTTAACATTTACTGAAAGCTCCAATGAACTTTTGTTGATATAGTTACATTTACCATAACTGATAGTTACCATACTAGAAAGGAAACAGAAAAGTTCACTTAAACAACAATAAACACAGGTCTTTACAAAAACAGTAAAAAGTGAGACCTTCTTTCATATTTTTTTCAGGTTTCTTCAAGTCACATAGATAAAAGCTGTCACATGGGAAGAAACTTGTTTGGAAGAAATGGAGCACACCTCCCTTCTATTATAATTATGAGCTACATTTATGGTTCACTTCTAGTAGATATATAGGAATCCTCATTGGCACTGCTCATATTACCCTTGCCTGAGGTTCCAGTTCCATAGTATCCTTTGTACATTTTATTTTCCTCATTGGCAATATTTTTCATATTTTAAATTCCATTTGTTTTTGTAAGCCCCTCATATCCTTTCCTGGAATATGATCATTCTAGAAATTCTCTTCAAACAAAATACCTTATATACACATGACTAAAAATAAAACTGAATCACCCAGTTTTCCCATTTTAATTACTGCTTGAAATTCTTCTGCAAGAGAAACAATTATTTTATATCAACACTATGTAGAGCTATCCTGGATTCTCTCAGACTTACTCTGAACAATGTTATTATTAAAATCTTACAGGATTTGTAATCACATGGTAGAAAATAAATAAATCTTTTAAGAACTACTTTCAAATCATGATAATTTTTATGTATGGAATCAGAATCTAAATCCTGGTATCAAAACTTCTATTTCATTCTAAGAAAATTCAACAACAAACATTATTACTAATCATGTAAATTCTTACACAGTTTCAATTTAATAGGTTAGGAAAACCTCTTATTTGCAACTTAAATGGTAGTTAAATATAGTGGCTACTCATTTTCATTTCAAAAATTTTGCCTTAGATGTGAGTTAAACATTTACCTCAAGTAGACACACGCCCTAGAGAGAACAATCATTGGAGAAGGAAGGGCTGCTTATGCACAGGGAGACAGCTCAGGGTGCAGGAGAGTATGGAGGGATGGTCACTGGGAAGAAGTAACTATGGGGAGGAAGTGGGAGGGGAGCTGTTGCATTGTGGTAAACTGTGGTCAATGACATGAGACAAAGTATATGTGAACTGCTGTATGGAAAGTGAATTTGCTCTGTAAATCTTCACCCAAATAAAAATAAATAAATCAGTTAATTAAAAAAAAAAATTTTTCCCTTAGGAAATAGCCAAAACAAACAAAAAAAGGTAGTTCATTTAACAAAGGTGATCCTTGAAACAGTGTAATAGGACCTGGAGAACCTTGGTTTTTCTGACTAGCACTTTTTCAACCATGGTTCCTCAGTATTATTGAAGGATCTGGAAATTCCGGTATCTTGGCAGCCAAACCATATTTCAGAGTACCTTTCACTTACAGAATACAGTAAAACTCTTTGTCAGATCTGATTTTTGGTATGTAAAATATTACATTAAAAAAAACCCCAAAAAACCAAACTCACAAAAATCGAGAATTCTGACTACTAGTGACCTCATTGAGTTTCCAAGGCTGTATATCTGTTTTAATTTTAATTTTAATTTTAAATTTTATTGTGATGTGGGTGAAAGTTTACTAAGCAAATTCATTTCCCATACAGCAGCTCACACACACTTTGTCTCATGACATTGACTGAAATTTCCCACAATGCAACAGCTCCCCTCCCACTTCCTTCCCATAGTTACCTCTTCCCTGTGCCCTTCCCTCCCATGCACTCCTGCCCCCTGAGCTGTCTCCCTGTGCATACACAGCCCTTCTATTCTCCCATGATGGATCTCTCCAAGGAGTGTATCTACCTAATGTAAATGTTCAGCTCATATAAGACTGTAAATATTTATGGAAGAACATTGCTTTATCTTTATTCTGTGGAGTGGCTTGTGGGTTTGAACCACTGACCTTTTGGTTAGTGCCTTAACCACTATACCCCCCAGAGCTCCTTACTACAACTACAGTAGCTATCAATTAGCCTGAAACTCAAATTCTAAAAACAGAAATAAGAGATTTTCCAAGGCAGTAATAAAAGAGAAATTTATATTAGAATAACTGTGACAAATTAGTTAATCTTTGTTTAGAGATATGAACAGTATTTCGAATCTTCCACAAAAAATCCAAGTACTTTTAGTACCATTTAAAAAAAAAAAAAAAACAGCTTTAAATGTACACATATCCACAATTAGGCAAAGTCTTACTGAATACCTTTGTGCCTGCTAGCTTCTTGGATAGAGTTGGAGATACCAAGTTGAGTAAAACCAAACCCAACCCACTGCCACTGAGTCTATTCCAACTCATAGTGACCTCACTAGGTTTCCAAGGCTGTAAATCTTTACAGAAGTAGATTGCCTCACCTTCCTCCTGCGGAGCAGCTAATGGGTTTGAACTGCTGACCTTGGGGTTACCAGTTCAATGCCTTACCTACTATGCCACCAGAGCTCCTTTCAAGTTGAGTAAGAGTGTCCTAATGCTCAAGGAACTTAGTTCAGAGAAGACGTATATACAATATATAATGTGAAAAAAATGCCATGAGGGTAGAGTAGAGGAGTATATAAAATGTTATAATAATACTATAACCAGAACAATACTGGTAGAACAGAAGGGAAAGTCATGAATCTTGAAAGATAAGCAGACTTTTCTAGGAGAAAATGGGAGATGGAGAGTGGAAAATAAAGAGAAGGGCTGGTGAACTGGGTGACTATCATTTCAGTAAATGTATATTGTACGTGCAAAGATATATTTTCCAAGTAGATGTGGACTGTTCACAGACTCTCTGAAACTCATTAAAGTGCCTTCTGAAGTGTCTCATAACAGATTTTATTGTTCCATAGTCTTTTAAAAAGTCCACAACACTACGTTTTTGTTCTTTCTGCATTTAACACTGTTTAAAATCTCACCTTGAATTTAAAAGCAATTAAAAACAAAAACCACAATAAAATGCCTCTAATAACTTCCCCCAGAAGTGAATATTATTATTAGAAGAGAGAAGTATCTGAGACAGCTCCTTTATTGATTTATCCAAGATCTGAAAATTCAATTTCACTACCAGTGGCTGTTCAGTGGTAGAATTCTCACCTTCCATGCTTAGCTTCCAGACTCAGATAGAACAGAAAGAAAGTCCTGGTGATTTATTTCTGACAGTTTGCCAATGAAAACACTATGGATCACAGTAGTCTGATCCCATTGTGATGGGGTAGCCATGAGTCAGGAGCTGACTCAATAGCAGCTAACAACAAAACTGTGAATAAGTACACATAGGTATATGCAGTATTTTTCATATAACAATCAACATGTACTTTCCTCAAAGAAAGACAGTTACCACAGTTACTGAAATGGGAATAAAGCCACCTTCTTTATAGAGTTGTATAAAGATTAATAAGTTAACTACACAGCACACATGGGGAAAAGGAACAAAGAAGTAATAATTATCCAAAGTTTAGTATAGACTTCCAGTAAGATGGCAGAATAGGCAGACAAGCTACACAGACCCTCTTCAACAAAGAAAAGAGAAATCAATTGACATAGATACAGAAGATAATCCTGGAGCCCTGAGCTTTGAAAGGAAGGATATAGAAGTAGAAGATACCAACTAGTAGAAGAACATGAATGAGAACAATGAGTAAGGAGACAAATAGAGCTGTGGACCATCAGCTATCCTGATGGCATAGGTAGTCTGAATATTTCCAAGTGGAATATTAATTCTCAGGACCTGAGAATTAACCTAAAAATTGGCCCGGCTTGCCAATGGCTGCATGGATGACTGTGCTGGCGGCTAATGACTAAAAAGGGAAACAGCAAAGAAGAAAACAAACTGAACTGTGAACTATTGGCTGTCTGATGCATGTAGCCATTTTGAACGTTTATAAGTGTGGCCATTTTGCATTTGGGATATTTAAAGTGACAGCATTCTCGTTCATATTCCAGGGACCTAAGAATAGGCTCTGTTTGCCAAGGACAATACGGACATACAGGAGGCTGACGAATGGAAATGAGACAGGTGGTGAGTGCATAATAGCTGTCAACTGGAGAACAGAGGAGCACAGTACCATGCTTACTCAGGTAACATTCAAACACAACAAAAAAAATGAAAACCTTGGGAGAATCACTCCAACATAAAATCACCAATTAAATAGAAACATAAAAATGTCACAATGCCTCAGAGACAATAGCACATCACAGCCCACGCAAAGAAGCACGATGAAACAGTAGAAACAAGGGACCAGGATACAGATGCAGAACACATCCCTCAGGAAGCAGCAGCACTGGAACTCCCTGATAAGGAATTCAAAAGAATTATATTTAGGTACCAACAGATTGAGAGACAGATGAAGGAAAACACTGACAAAATTGAGGAAAACACAGACAAAACACCAGAACAATTTCAGAAGACAACTGGAAGAAAAAGAACAAAATGACAAAATAAATAGAAAATTAGAAATGATACAAAATCTACATATAGAAATCCAGAAGATTAATACTAAATTTTCAGAAATAGATAACAAACTGAAAGGGCAAAGGAGTAGACATGAATAAATGGAAGACAAAATTAGCAAGACTGAAGAAAAACACCTGAATACTTCTTTTGATAGGGATCAATCAGAAATAAAGATCAAAATAAAATGAAGAAAGCCTAAGGTTCATGTGGGATACCATCAAAAGGAATAACCTATGTGTAATAGGAATTCGAGAACAGGAAGAGACAAATAAAACCACAGAGAAAATTGTTGACTACTTGTTGGAAGAGAATTTTCTTGATATGATGAAAGATGAGAATATATCCATTCAGGAAGTCCAATGAACCCCAAACAGGACAGACCCCAAAAGAAAATCAACAAGACATATCACCATCAAACTCTTCAAAACC